ATAGACCAGCTTTGCTATATATAGAGATATATCCCTCGCCAGAAAACTTTCATGCAACTAATAGCTGTTATTTTTATATAGTAGTACCATTACATAGACCAGCTTTGCTATATATAGAGACATATCCCTCGCCAGAAAACTTTCATGCAACTAATAGATATATTGTTAAAGCGTCAGCTGCAATATGTACATTCGTATACATTGTATACACATATTTTGTCCTCACCAGAAGTATTTGGACATGTACTCATAGAGTAGCGTCCTGGTGACTATTAATTTAATATGATGTACTAATTAACTAACTGATATTGTTCTTCGTGGACTACCGATCATTAGATTTTGACAGATACATATTGTTGTTTCAAAACCTCGATCTCGTAATGAAGATTAGAAGACTGTGGAGAAACTATTGTGCCAGATCCTCCAGACACCCTTAAAGATGAAAAAAATGGGTTTAATATCTAGATTCTGGGCGACCTATTCTAAGCGATAAAATCGTTACGTGGCTTGTGGTAGGGAGTATTATTTGGCTAAAACAACAAAATGGCTTAATACACCAAAAAGAAAACTCTACAAAAGTTCATGCAACATATTCTTGTAACATCTCTTGATATTCCTGGAAATTTAGACATACAGACACTTAACAGACAGGTCCGATTCTGATGCAGAAAATATAGAGGCACGGTTGTGACTCTAGCCAAGCAATAAGGTGGAGTAACACTGTCGTGACTCTATACACCACTAGAGTGACTCGAGCCAAGCTATAAGGTGGAGTAACACTGTCGTGACTCTATATATACCACTGTATAACTCGAGCCAAGCTATAAGGTGGAGTAACACTGTCGTGACTCTATATATACCACTGTAATAACTCCAGCCAAGCTATAAGGTGGAGTAACACTGTCGTGACTCTATATACCACTGTAGTGACTCGAGCCAAGCTATAAGGTGGAGTGACACTGTCGGGACTATATATACCACTGTAGTGACTCCAGCCAAGCTATAAGGTGGAGTTACACTGTCGTGACTCTATATACCACTGTAATAATTCCAGCCAAGCTAGAAGGTGGAGTAACACTGTCGTGACTCTATATATACCACTGTAATAATTCCAGCCAAGCTAGAAGGTGGAGTAACACTGTCGTGACTCTATATACCACTGTAGTGACTCGAGCCAAGCTATAAGGTAAAGTAACACTGTCGGGACTCTATATACCACTGTAGTGACTCGAGCCAAGCTATAAGGTAACGTAACACTGTCGGGACTCTATATACCACTGTAGTGACTCGAGCCAAGCTGTAAGGGACTCTATATACCACTGTAGTGACTCGAGCCAAGCTATAAGGTGATATGACACTGTCGTGACTCGAGCCAAGCTATAAGGTGGAGTGACACTGTCGGGACTCTATATACCACTGTAGTGACTCCAACCAAGCTATAAGGTGGAGTATCACTGTCGGGACTCTATATACCACTATAGTGACTCCAGCCAAGCTATAAGGTGGAGTGACACTGTCGGGACTCTATATACCACTATAGTGACTCGAGCCAAGCTATAAGGTGGAGTAACACTGTCGCGACTCTAAATGCCACTGTAGTGACTCCAGCCAAGTTAAAAGAATGGGGTAAAATATTACCGTGATTCTATATACAGAAACAAACTTTTTGGACAAATATGGGGTATTGCTACAGCTGTTCTAAATTCTGAAATGTGACTATTCTTATGTTTGTGAGCAGGGCTATGCCCTCTTAGTCATATGAAAAACAGTACTTTTGTACCTGTTTTATATTAAAAGATATGAAAAGCCAAAAGAGGCAAACATATCGTAAATATAGGAGGACCGGCACGAAACAAAACTTTCCACTGATAGATATTCATTTGAAATAGACAATGCTGTTGTTCTGAAGACTGTAGCACATTTATTACTTTTTAATGAATAATTTTGTTTAATAATTTTAGCGGTGAACTGCTCTCCTCTGCACTTGGTCAAAAGCGAACTTAAGAGCCTAGGGGTACGTGTAAATTCTTAAATGAGGGAATTGCGTAGGGATCTAAGACGTTGAACCTGTGTGTGTAAAAACGTATCCTAAAACCTGGGTGGAATGTCACTTTTACCCAGTTTTAAAATAACAATAAATCCTAGAAGTAGTGATATCTAATCAAAAACATCTTACATGTACAAAAAATATCCAAGTTAGAATAAGGTAGTCAGTCATATAAATATGCCTTTCCCCAGTGGCACAGTGGACTTATAACGCTGGAAACTGGGTTTCGATGCCTAGATGGGCAGAACACAGATAGCCCTTTGTTTAGCTTTGTGCTTAACTAGAACCAAACAAACAAGTCCTTTTTCCATAAAAGTCACAATAAAGTCGTTATGTTTCGTCAAGTTTGACGAGTTTCAGACGAAACAAAACCATACCTAGCATTCTTAGAAGAACGTTGTATAAATCTCATAGGGGTGGCTGTGAGCTCGTTGCAAAAATAATTTCCAGCATTAGAATCTCAACAAGAAAGTTTTTATTACATTTCGACAATTTTCAGCCAATATATAATTTATCCTCTTGTAAACAGACCTAATTCGTGACATTTTAACACCTTACACTGAATGTAACATTGCTAATCTTACATATCTGGTGTGTCAATGAGCATGCTGTATGGGCGATGTCATATCTTCTAGAATTATTCCAATACTTCTGGATGGACAGCATATGTATGTCATTGCATCAGTTAACTCCATATTCATTTATAAGTAATGGAGAAGTATTCTTTGATTAACATGTTTATTTTCAATGCCAGTGTCCTACACAACCGATGACCTGGTGTTTGACTGGGAACAGGAAACTCCACTCGTTGTTGAAGATTCCATTGAGTTGCCACAACATATTCTGATCGATAAACGATTGGAAGACTGCACTCAGGTGTATTCTACAGGTACTTGTAAGTTTTAAAGTATGTCAATAACAGGCTTGATCTATCATTGTTTTCGTTCCACTGTGCCTGATTAAAACTGATTTGGAAAATACTAACACACAACAGAAACTTTGAGAAATATTAAATCAAAAGGCATTCGTCAAATTTTATCTTAAATTATTGAACCTATTTTGCTAAAACTATGGTGTTAATTTCGTTTATCACGGTTACGTACACTACATAGATAAATGCTGCTAAATCAGGCAACTAGGTTTTTCATCAAACTTTTAACTCCATTATTTGCATTTTGGATTACTGATATTTTTTTTTTCAAAACCAAAGGGAATTGGAAGAGTAAACCGGAAAAGAAAGTATTTAAACAAACTAACAATTTTTACATGACCGTAAATTAGAAAATATATCCGCGAAGTTTTTAACTACATGTGTATTTCATATAACATTAAGAATAAATTACTGAAATAACTATTTTCATCTATCCTTTAAACATCACCTCATTAGTTTCTTTTCCTTCTGAAAATTTGCTTCAAGATGTAATTTCTGAATTATATTCTTTATGCTCAGTCCTCGAGTCTCAAATAATACAATTCATTTTCTCTAACAAATGAACACATTATGGGATGGCTGAAATTGAGTTTCTCACTTCTAGTAAGGAGGAAAACGTTTTACAATTTCCTGGAAACGGGATTATTAATTTTTGCTCCAGAATTTCCCTGCCCGAATGTGAACTAATTATTAACTTGTCTGGGGATGTGGATGCGCTGTAAGAGTGAAGGAGCAATCCCAATATTCAGTCAGATAATAGCACCCCACGAGTCGGTTGTGGGTACTCTTGATTAACTGCCTTTCTTTAAGCCTATCAGTTCAAAATTAGGATCGTTATGCGCGTATGTGTGTTCTGCCTGAAAACTGTATTCAAACAAAGATATTTTCCCATCATTCACAAAACAAAAACAAAAATACAGTAAAGAGTTTCACACCAGAGTTATTAAAGAAAATAAAAATGTGTTGTTTATGTTCAAATATTACCTCGAACTTAGATATGAATTTCAAATTTATATCTAACGATAGACAAAATCAATCTATATGATCATTCTTTCCAAGTTTAAGGTTCATTAAAGCGCCTGATTTATAAGCAAACCTAGACACTTTACATGCTTGTGATTATGTAAACGTTTGTAAAGTTTGCCAATAAGTAATCAATTTCACACAAGAATGATCCAGAGTTATATATTTATTTCTTATAGGTATATTTTAATTATAATTACATTTCAAACACAATTATTTAGAGTTATATATATATTTCTTCTAGAAATTCTTTAATTATGTTTGAGTTATAAATGACTTAGGAGTTCTTTTTTTGTCTTATAGATATTTCAATCTTGGCTTCGTATTGATAATACGCTATGTTGATTTTCTATATGTTTAAACATACTCTCTTAAATTTAAATATATAAATTAGTCGTGAAAGTCTAACAGAATAAAAGTGTGATTACTGAAACCTTTAATTTAATATAATTTTATCTCCATTTTTATTCTACAGCTGATTTAGTACTTAATGCATAAGTTATTGGCAATTTTAATACTCTCTACATTTTTAACATACTTATTATATCTTACTATGGAAATCACTGACAAGAATATTGATTCTTTGTAAAAGTATTCAATACAGAAACCCTTACCTTATTTTACATTCTGCTCCTCGACCTCCCTTGAAATAAAAAAGGAAAAAATGAGAAACAAATTCAGAAGATTCGATTAAATCAATATTTGTGCAAATAATGTAGAATAGCATGAACACAAAATTTAAAATTAAAAAACGGGTTTCAGAAACATAATCAAAATAGAGTTTTTAGGAAATAAATTCAGTCAATTAAATCACCTATGCAAACTTAGATTAGAAAATTATTGTTTTAAGTTTATTAGTTGATTATTGATGAGGTTTAGTACAAATAAATAATTTTTATTATCAATTAATCAAAAAGTAGTGAATCATTTTTTCGATGATTTTTGGCAGTATTTTAAAGACAATCTCGAAGCAAAATTATATAAAAAACTTTATCAATTATAGTTTCAACATACAATTCTTTATCTTTGGTAAACATAAAAATGTTTTAACCAGTCTAAAATTTAGGAATAAAAGTGTGTGTTTCCTACATTTTATTTATTTTTAATCAGCTAAAATTTATTTTTTTACATGGTATCTTTCGTATAAAGTGACTTAAATACTATTTATCTATCCTATGTAATAAGGATATGAGAATACATTTTATCAGGATCTAATTGTAACATGATTTTTAAAATTTAAGATATGTCATCTATAAAAAGATAGGTTTATCAAACTAAATAGTATTGCTAGAAAGTGTAGTTTTGTAAACAATTATTTAGTGAAATTTCCAGTTTGCTAAGTTTTCTTAAGATCTCTTTAAAATTTACATAAAGATCAAATTATTCATCAATATGATTTATGAATAATTGCATATTGGTCTTATTATTCATCATTGAATCTCCGTCTCTCGTAAATAAGAGCTAATAAAGTACTAAATACTTAGTATTGTTTATTACAGATATATAAACATAAGTGCAAGCTAGGTAAGTCTGTGTTTTTTTCTTTATTATTTACAATAAAAGATTTTTGTGATTTTGTTTTGGTAATAAATCAGGAAACTTTACGTGTATCCAAGTTATTTTCAAGTTCCAACGCCGCCTGGGTTATTACATGTTTCACACATACATCCCAACTTGCTTGGTCGTCATCATGTCCTGGATTTCTTTCTGGATCAGACCAGAAGCTGTTCCTGCACGTGTGACTCTCTGTGTTACAAGCCTGTTGACGTTGTCTACCCAACATGCGCAATCTCAGAAGTCACTTCCACCTGTGTCGTACATTAAAGCCATCGACATATTTATGTCGTCATGCACTGTATTTGTGTTTGCTTCTCTAATGGAATATGCATTAGTCAGCATTTTGTTAGGAGAGTATGATGACCAATTCAATAAACGAGGACTGGGAAGTATGATTTTAGCAGCGAGAGGAGCAGTGAGTAAACAGTTTTCCATAGCTTCAGTAATGAACAATACTGTTATGTTCGTTTAGCATCTGAATAGTTTATTGTGACAGTAACATGTGATGACAGAGATTGAGATAACTTAATGAACATTTTCTCAATGCATACAGTTCATTAATGTGCCTTTTAAATGTTTTAATTTACTCATGAGGTTCAGAAGAAACATATAAAACAGATTCAGTTTCAAATTTGACTACAAAAGAAAAGAAAAGGAAAAGATAAAATTATGTTATGATTAAATTTTTCCACTCCCTTTAGCAAGTATAACAAAACAGGTATTAAATCAGTTTATTTCATTTTATGCAAGAATTACTTTTCATTTCTAAATGGCGGTAAAATAACAAAATCACAAAAATGAACATTTGAAATTAGATTCTGAATTTTAAGTTGTTACAAACAGATCTTCTAAGTTTTTTGATGGGAAGGAATTAAAAATACAAATTTAATTAGGTAATGTTTTAGTTTTATATATAAATAAAGACAGAGAAGTTTAAGTTGCTACTTATATAATTTCAAAATACTCATTATTTATAATCCTGTTTTTAGGAAGATGGAAAAGTGCCTAAGGAAAATTCGCCCAAAATTCTTGCTTCCTCTGCACAGAGAAGAAAAGAGCGAGCAAATTTGATGGACAAAATATCACGTGTGGCATTTCCATTATCATTTGTATTACTAAATTCAGTATACTGGTGCGTTTTTTTATTCATGGATCCAGATTAGTATTATTGGAAGCCCTCGAAAACTCATATGATGTTTTTACGTTCGTGATTTCAGACTGCTTGCAAATACGTGGAAATAAACAATATATAAAAGGGGAATGTTTTAAGCTTAGATCTCACGATCTTACTGTAAACGAATATTGCTAAAAAGGCTGCTGCTCTTTGGAAATTTTTACTTATAAATAAAAAGCTATAAAATTAAAGTAAAATCAATTTTGCGAACTTTTCGTATTGGATAGTGACTCACTGATGGAGCCATCAAGAAAGTAGCCAAGACAGATACTAAGATGTTTATTGTAGTGTATCTTTTGTTACCCAAGCGTGTTAATATGTTAGAGACATTCTAGACGATTTTACTTAAGTCAAAATAACCGTTTTCCCCGGGGATTAATCAAGAGCATTAAATGTTATTTTTGTCATACTGAAATAAAGGTTGCATATTTAACAAGTTGTCTGCCTTTTTCCTTTTCTGTTTTTTATACTTTTCTTGCTTATTTACCTGTTAAAAAGACGAATGAACAACACTTGTATTTGTGAAAAGGTTCATTTTAGCGAAACTTATACTGTCTAAAGTTAAAAAAAAACAGTTATGAAACACTATTTTTGGATATTTTATTCCAAAACATGAACTATACTACTATATAATCATATTATGGTAATGAACCTAAGACTTTCTTCTATAAACTCTATGTTTTTATTTTGGAAATAATGTCAAAAGTTAATCATGTATTTGTAGTTTAGTTTTGAGTAAAGTGTGTTAAGAAAACGTCTTTCCAAATAACAATTTAATTTTTTATTACTCTATGGACATCGGCAAAATTAGATTCAACTCTGAGAATAAGATTTATTTTTACGTGACCCGAAGAGAAGACTAGGAGACACATTATGCTGAGCGTGGCCTAGTGGTTAGCATGTCAAACTGTGGAGCTGAAGATTCTTTCTTGGGCGCCCCGTTAAGCCTTTTGGTACGTTATAAGTGTAACGGTCTAATCCCACTACTCCATCTGACAAAAATAGCTAAAGAGTTTATGGGGGGATATTGATTAGCTGTTTTCTTTCCACTCAATAACTACAAAATTAGGGACAACTACCGCAAATAGTCTTCGTGTAGCTTTGCCAAAAAGCAATCAAACAAACCAAAGCATACACACACACACACTTGATCAGGCAACATGTTAGTCAGCGTCCCTGATAATGAGAGGGATGTTCTCAAATATGTACAAGTGTTTGATTAAAATCACAATAAGTTCTGTGAACTTCCTTCCTATAAGGTCATATCTTCAAATGCAGTATGAACAACTTTGTTTTGAAAATTATAATGTGAAAGTGTTTTGGCATTTGGTAAAACACTTTGAGTAAGAGAATTTTCTTTCTTAAGCTTTACCACCAGGGGTTCCGTGTCTAGTCAATAAAGTCTTCCCAAAAGAAGTTGCAAGTGGCTTGCCATGTGTAATAATAAGTTGTCAGTTGATAAAAACTCACTTGGTTTAGATGTCATAATAAATTAAAATCCCTGTATGGTAAAGTTGTGTTGAGATCATAACTTAACTGTAATTTTACTCATGTATCCACGATTCAGTGTACATTTAGGCATGTCGTTCAGTTTGCCTTTTGTACATTTAGGCGTTCCCTATCACATCACTTCCTTCAAATTTCTATGAGCCTTGGTTATGAATATAAACAGGTTGAGTATCCTATATTATAAAATTTTGGAGCTTCACCACGTCGTTGCAGTCCATTTCGCCTTGTCCGACAATGTTTTATCTCACAACTATTTATCTCTACAATATTCTCGTAGCGTAGCTTCCATTACAAAAGGCCCCGTCGTAAGACTGTCGTGCCTAAGGCACACCACACCACCCTACATGTTTTCCATAATCCATTTAGTGTACAATGACGATAGTTTTCCAGCGCCTGTTTCAACAGTCCAATAGCACAAAAATCCATAGTCGTTGCATCTAACAACTTGATCCAAACATCTTTTCATTATATAGAATGAATAATCATTATAATCTCTAGATGTTTGAGGTATGCGACGGTTGATGGATATGTTATGGAAGCAGCTTGCAAACACGTGACTTTTATCGCTTTTACAGACAGACATACTTCTTGATTGTGGCGTATTCCGTTTCCTGAGACACGTGGAGACTTTTTGCCACTAAACTTTGTGTTAGAAGACGGTACAATATGTTTACCACGTCTGGGATACGACTTTTTACAAGTCTCATTCTGTATGGTTTTAATTCGCAAGTTGATCTATATTCCTTTGTTTTCCAACGCCATTACGTACAAAAGATATTCCGTCTTACTAAACCCCCGATCTGAAGACATCTTTATGACCCGAGTGTATAGTGATATCACACTGTCTACATAACGCCAAACAATGTCAAAATGTAGTTCTGATACATCTGTGCCACTAAAATTTTATATTGTCAGTGAAATGCTGATTTGCGTATTCAAAATTGTTTTAGTGTAACTTACTCAAACCTCTGTATATTTGAGAAAGAACACTCTGAGACACGCAAATCAGTTCCCTTGTACAAAACTGAGGGAAATTAACCCTTAGGCATCCTGTCATTTCAACAGCACTGAAGTCATATTGATTTAAAGTGACAGTCAGACATAACACATGGCGAACCACGGATTAACTATTTAATAGGCGAGGTTAATGCAAGTTCACTTGAGTAATACATACAATTCCTTTTTCATACGATGCCTAATAGAATAACAAGCAGTCTCATCATAATGATAAAGACTTTATAGCGTTTATTAGATTACCGTACAAAACGGTAAACACTTTTCAAAGTTTACACAGTGTATACATTTTTGGATAATAAATAAAATAATGACATTAATTTCAGCATGTGAAGAAAGAAAGTATAGTTTAACAGCATTTAATTGGAAATTACATAATTATTTCAACCATCAGATCGAAATAAGAATCGTGCACTTTCAGATTGGACCAGATACAAGGACAATATCTTTAGTGTAAGAACAAGTGTGTTCTGGTGGGAGAAGTATCAATATAACTGTCAGATAGCAGTGAGAATACACTGTCTGTCAGATAAAACGTCTATTCGCCAACCTCAAATTTAAAGTACAATTAAAGGTTAAAATAAAAGAATGGAATTAGGAGCGAATTTAGGAGATCCTATTCACTAATTATCTTCCGAACTATGATTATATGACTGCATGAGACTACTGTAGGGTAGTTACTCCTGAAAGAAGAAAACTGGAAGTAATTCCATTATTAAATTAAAAAAGACGGAGTAGGCTATTGACAAGAGAAAACTAGAGCCACAAGTTAGAATGTCTTTGTGATATTTTGCCATTTCGGACCCCATGTGGTCAAAACGTGAAATAAGAGATAATAAAATCTTAAATGGTAAATTCAAATATACATAAATTACAATTCATTTCTACCCCCTACAATGTAAAATATTATATATTTGTTTTCGAAAATTCTATCAGTTTTATTTATTTATCAAACGTATAAAGCGTTGACCTTATTAGCTTGAATAACATAATATCAAATAGAATTGAATACTATCTATTGTTTTGAACTAGAGTTAACACTAAAACAATATTTGATATCTATTGTTCGGATTTGCAAATAAAATTTCTCTAATTGTACATTTTGATTTTTTCTTCACAAATAAAAAGTCGAAAATCGTTATTTCACATTTATGGATATCCTTTACCTAGAAGTAATATTTAATTTCTTTATTAAATTTAATATTTCTACAGTTACTTAGATTTCAAAAGTAAAAAACCATATTATCTTACTTACAAAACTTAAGTTCAAAGGCATTACTTTTTAATTACTTAGAATTGAACATTTTACTACAATTTCGAGATAGTTATTTCGTTTGAAAGTATGACAAGAAATATATTTCTAGCTTCTTATTACACATATTTGATTTATTTAATGCCTGCTTGGAAGTTACATCAGTGATCATTACAAATGTTCTAGAGTTACAAGTTAACTTTGAATACTTGTATGTACCTCTGTGAGTGAAAGAAGGGGGATGATGGGATTTCTTAAACTATGTTAAATTTTAAATTTATATAGTTGAGCATTTGGAGTAAGATAGAAGCTATTGAGTAAGTATGAACTACAAAAACACACTACTTTTATCTTTTTTTTATTATCTGCTTTGCTTATTTTCATTTGGTAGCTTATGATGTTTTATATTCCAGGGTTTGGATACACTGCTTCTACTTGAAAGACTTGTTCTAGGTCTTCAGTTATAGAGACTAAGGCATGGGGTTTTGTAAACTTTGCATTGCACAACTTTTTTGCTTTTCTTTCGTATTTTCTGTGATATTTTTTTTTATTTTTAAAGGTAAATTGACCTTTGATTTTAATTAACTCATTGACTGTGACTCCTGTATGTGTATTACATTTGCGTTTCCATAATTATTTCCAGTACTGCATCTTGGAGGTTTTGTTTTTTATTAACCCAAACACAGAAACGAAAATGGACATAAGCAGAAACATAACCCATTAAGTGAATCAATTTTTGAAACTTTTTGAAAAGAAATATAATGTATAAATTCAACTACATATATTTCTTTAGTTGTGTGAAAAAGTATAAACATGCCATTTTAGTCACATCAAAGCCAAATCTCTCCAAGATCACTATCTCAGTCGATTTTGGATGTTAATCCAATGATACAAGCTTCTATAAACAAACGTAAAGGTTCAACTCAAGATTATACCAGGAAAGAATTTTACAAACATTAAAAGATGGCTGGCTAAAAATGCATTATTAATGATAGGAGAGTTAGAGCTTTTTTCACTCATCTACTCCTACTCAACTCCAATGGGAGAAATGTGGTGAAGAAGATTAACATCTGTGCCAATATGATACAAGAGAAAGCTCGAGCACTTAAACCCAGTCAGTGTACCATTTCATGTGAACTTTGAAAGTGTGAGATTCATCATTCAGGAACTTAACGAGAGCCATTATATCCACATATCCAATGTGTATAAGAGAAAATTCGTGCTGGAAAACTTTACGCTGTATCTGCAGCTCATCCACCGATAGATTTCACGCTGTATCTGCAGCTCATCCACCGATAGATTTCACGCAGTATCAGCAGTCCATACATCGATAGATTTCACGCAGTATCAGCAGCCCATACATCGATAGATTTCACGCAGTATCAGCAGCCCATACATCGATAGATTTCACGCAGTATCAGCAGCCCATACACCGATAGATTTCACGCTTTATCTGCAGCCCATCCACCGATAGATTTCACGCTGTATCTGCAGCCCATACATCGATAGATTTCACGCTGTATCTACAGTCCATACACCGATAGATTTCACGCTGTATCTACAGTCCATACTCCGATAGATTTCACGCTGTATCTGCAGTCCA